CCACGTTATTTTTCACAACCGTGTTACAGCATGCCATCTTACTCATCACCTCTCACAGCGGAGCTCATGCAAATCCAGAGCTCCGTCATCACTTTGGACTCCATGCATTGCCATTTAGGACACATTTCTTCCGTGCTCGCAGGTGCCTTCTGGACTAAACCCAGTGACAGAACTAGATAAGTAAGTGAGTGCTCCACCGTGCCCTCCAGCCTGGATGACGTAGGAACTTAACAAGACTCTGTATCAAAAAGAAAGAAGGAAGGAGAGGGAGGGAGGGAGGGAGGGAATGTAGGGATGTAGCTCAGTGTGAAGGCCCTGGATTCAACTCCCAGTACTAGGAGGAGGAGGGGATCCAGCCACCAATCTGCTTGGAGTCTTTCGGTTCAGGAAGATTAAATGAGTCACTGGCTTGGTCAAAAGATGTTGGAATTGCTACCAGGATGAGATGGAAGCCACCCAGCAACAGCGCTCATAATGGCCAAGCTTCAGGCCCATGACTAAGTGAGTGCCTTGATTGGCTCTTGCTCCTGTGAACCTCATTCCAAGACGCCATACGGAAAGGGAGAGAATGCATAGGGACAGGGTGGGAACTAAACGGATTTTACCCGGAAAAAAAATCAGTACAGCAGCTCCAGAACAAACCCCAAAACTTCCTCCCTAAAGCTATTTGTTACTAATGGACAGAGTCATAATCAAAATTAGAAAGATGATGACAATACCAAGAACAAGTCAAAACCCCACTGAGTGGGGCAAACACCTCCACCTGGGTCTATTTCACTCCCTTCGTGCAGTCTTAGCTGATTTTATTTCACTCTCACTGCGGCCTTCCTTGGTGGTGTTCACTTATTGTTTTCATCCCTTCCTCCTTTCCTTTCTTTCTCTTTTCCTTCCACCCTTTTTCTTGTCACTCGCTCCTTCTTCCTTTCAAACGGGTCACTGGTTTGTACACATAAAATAGAAAATGAGAAACATACTTTGCCATCTTCTTCTACATCTATCCCCTTCCTCATTTTCTCTGGCAAATAACAACGCACACACATAGAATTATGCTTAGCCAGCTCCAAAAACTATGTTGGCCCTGTTAGTTATGCATTAAAGCATTTGTGTTTATTTCCAGCCTCTACCACAGATAGAAAAGGCACTAGAAAAGAATTTTCCATGGCCTTGGAGAGCTCAGAATAACTTGATGGCGTGAACACATAATTTTCACCCTTACAAATATGAAAGCCTTTGTTTTAGAGTAAAAACAATTCAGAAAATCACTTAAGCACAAATTTTTTCATTTCTCCACCTCCAAGAGAGTCTGAGTCCATCAACTTTCATGATACATAAAATTTAAAACTAAGCATAGGGATGTAAAGAATTATTTTGAAAATCTGGAAAGCCAAGCCTAGCATGAACTTTCATTAAAGATAATTCTCAGCGTCATGCTTCCCATAATTTATAGCAATAAACACATTAGAAAGACTGAGGAACCCCACTGTTCAGGAATTTTAATCATACCACAATGTATAAATATGAGATTGATGCTAAAGATAGCCATAGCCAAATTGTTCTACAGCATGTGAAAGAAGCATGTTAGAGAAACACAATCATATATGAGAAATCATTGAACATCTGCCATGCGGTCAGGTTGCTCAAAGGAAATAGTATCAGAAGTCAGATCAACTAAAATTCTAGTTTTATCTTCATCACGTACTACCCTTGTAGCTGTGATCAAAGTAAGTTATTAAGTTTTAGTTTCCATTTCTGCAAAAAACGAGTAGTGGATAAGCCTGTACCTAACTCTTCTTGAGAGGACCAGTGAGGGAATACAAGTGAAAGTACTTTATATAATGTAAAATGTAAACCAAATGCAAACTATTATTAATACCATTTTCATCACCTAAGCAACTGATCAAATCAGAGACATAAAACAGACAAATTCATAATTGAAAAGCTTATGATGGGGCTGGGGGTTTAGCTCAGCGGCAAAAGCGCCTGCCTGGCAAGCGCAAGGTCGTGAGTTCGGTTCCCGGTACCGGAGAAAAACCAAAAAAAAAAAAAAAAAGAAAAGCTTATGATTCACTTAAAATAATAAAATATAAGTGGATGAAAAAGTAACAGTAACACTGGCTAGTACTTTTACAACTACATATATATATATATCTTATAAATTATAAGGAGTATTAGAATTCCCACAGTGGGCCCCATTTAACAAGTGAAGGAGATGCAACAGCAAAATATGAGGTAAATTGTTTAGAGTTAGAGATTGTAAGTGACAGAAATGAGATTTAACCCAGTAATGTAGTGAGAGACAAGGAGATGGACAGGAGAAAGAGAAGAAGAAGAGAAGAAGAAAAATAAATACATTATCAGGTTTGCACATTTTATGTTATTATAAATCATTTATTATTGAGGTAACAAACAATCTACTGAAAACTTACTATAATGAGTATTTGCAGGAAAATAGAGATATAAAAAGCATCTTTTTGCCATGAGAACTTGATGAACCACGAAAATATTTTTTAAAAGTAAGGTGGTAGAGTGTGAGACACATGACATTTTCACAGAAGAAAAGAAATAGAGTTGCTACCCTGCGCAACTGGTATCTCAAAACTTGGAGAGGCATAAGTAACAGTGAGGATTTCCTTAGTTAAGAAGGAAACATATTGTGGAAACAATTCTAGAATTGTTATAAATAAATTTTGAGGAGCTTTTTCTATCTATGTATTTTTATTTTTTATTTAATTTTATTGGTGGATTTTAGATATACATAATAATAACATTCATTATAGGGAATTTGTATTTGTATGTGATATACCTTGATTCTTCTTATTTTTCCCATTCTCCTCCCCTCCCTTCAACCTTTTTTCCCCTCCTTATTTACAAAAACTTTCTTTCCATTTTTTCCTTCTATTCTAAATGTTCTCATACTCAGTACTGGTGCAAGAAACTTTGAAAGTTTCTAGATGTGGTAAGATCACCTCCTGGCATCTGAAGACAATTGTTTGAGTACAGAGCCTTAAAAAAACCACACCCCACTCTTTCCTTGATATCCCAGAAAAATTTGCAATCCACCCACACTGTGCGTGACACCCTCCCACAATGTTTTCCCTGGCATGTGCGCCATTTGGCCCGAAGTTCCAACAAGGATGCCAGCAGTTTCCGTCTTTGCATCTACGCTTGCAGCTTGATAACTGCTGATCTTAGACTTGCCTTTCTCGTGACCTATTTACCACTTCCTGCATACCAAGAAGAGACTTGCTTTGGAGAGGAAAGTAGTCTGTCATCATCTAGTCACAGTAAAATCTTTAGAACCAAAAGTCTAATTCCGTTCCCGGGAGTGGCTAACAGCTGTTGGACGTGATCACACCTGAACATCCGATTCACTACTCCAAGGCTAGGAGAGTGAGGGTCACAGAGGAAGTCAGAGGTTTGGGATGAGCATCTCACAGCCAGTTCACTGAGGTCCTGACCAAGATGCAGGAGCGAAAGTTGGTGTAATTCAAATGGGCATTTGGAGATGAGGAGGGTAACAAAACTCTTCTTAGGAAAACAGTACAAAGCACTTGTCAGCCTCAGACATGAGGCAATACCAGGCGTGGAAAGAAAGGGGCTGACTATTCTTCTCTCCCTAAGATTCCACCTACCTTCTTGGAGCCAGGCTTTCAGACATCCACCACGATACAGATAACTAAAGAGAACAATGTGCACCATACATATCTACACCCTGAGGAGGCCCAGCCAGAGGGCTCTGCGGCTCCCCTCAATTGCAATGCCAGTGTTTTCCAAAAAACAAGTTTTTTGGAAACCTACGAAAAATGCAATCTTTTTTTTTTTGTCTCTTTTTTTGAGACAGGATCTCTCTATGCAGTTCAGACTGGCCTTGAGCTCACTTTGTACCCCAGGCCAGCCTCGAACTCTCAACGATCTTCCTGCCTCAGCCTCCCAAGTGCTGGGATTACAGGTGTGCACCACCACACCCGGCAAAAAATGCAGTCTTATCTCTCCCCCAGTGTCTTCACTCATTGTCTGAGTAACTCCAGCCTGTTGCTGTTGTTACATGTTCATGTGCTATGTATCATTCAAAATCCAATTCTCCCTGAGGAGAGTGCAGTGATTGGATGAAACAGTTCTGTACTTGAACTCCCATGGGCCTTTGTCCTCACATCGTGTAATCACCCATAATCATCTACAGATACCTAGATGTTCGAGGGTGTGCGCCAGATGATGAAACATGTGAATCACCCCTGACACTCTTCCCACTCTCACTTCTATTAGTCACTAAGCCTTTTTCACACTCACTCCATCTCCTTTCACTCTCCCACCTCAGCTGTCCTTGTCTCAGGTCTCAGAATTGAGTGGTTTCCTCATCCCAATCATGGAATGAAAGATTAATGAGATAATAACATCAAGAAATTTTTCTCTGTTGTTCCAGCCAGTTGGTCCTCTAAGGAAGAAAAAGATGACAATCCAGTCCATGTCCCAGGGAGGCTATTTTTGGTACACAAGCAAGGTCATTTTGCAGGAGCTAGACCTGAAGAGAAGAAATAAATGGAAAAGAAAGTGATGCAAGGAGGTTACATAAAGACAGAGAATTAAGCGATCTGAGGGAGGTGGGACCCGAGTTTGAAATGTTAGAAAAAGGGGGAAAAAATGCTTAAAGGGAATAATTTGAAATTGCTTGCTAAGACATTATATGGTGAGATTAATTTTATTCTTCAGAATTTTGTATGTAGCTTTATAGATTTTTCAAGGTAATTTAACAAAGACTAGGTCACAAAATATCTTAACATTATGCTAGCTGCAACAGAACATTTTAAATAGAAATTCACATAGTAAGACATACAAAAATACTAAATGTGTAAAGTTTTTTTTTTAAATGAGCAGAGGTGAATAGCTCCAGGATGTTTACAAGTTAGCATTAGGTCTTCTTTGCAGCACTACCACTTCTTCGTTATAACCACCATTACAGTTGATGAGGCCTTCTTTACAATAATAAAAGCTACTAATAATTGTGAGTTTGCATGTAACATTTTATTTACATGTACATAATTGTTTGGGTACATTTCTATAGCTTTCTTAGAAGTAAAGACTTCGGAAATCGAATAACTTGCCCAAAGTCACCGATGGATAATACTCAACACTGGGATTTAAACCAAGATCAGTCCAGGCCCACAGTCCATGGTGCTTCCACTCCATCTGTTCCCCCATATTACCCATTGAAGGAGAAAGATAAGGGTTTGTGGACTCCAAGCATCATGGTATGGATGATGAATTGGAAATTCAGTACTGACTTACCCACTTGCAAAACACACTTCTTCCACTGATTTGTTTCCAGTCTTTGACTTTTCCTCCACCTGTGGCCCTGTGACTTTTCCCAAGTGCCCATAGCCCTGCTGTGTAGAGATAACAGTCTTCCATGAAGTCTTTCCTCACTACGGGTGCCTCATGACTATCACTTATTGAAGTTGGCGACACCATAGTACTCCTAAAATGAAAGATCATTAACCTGAAATTTTAAGATCACAAGGGACCCCTGAAGATGGACTTCAGAATGGCCGCCAAATCTAGAAATTGTATGTAAAATATTGGGCATACCTGCATACATGGGGGGATTGTTTGCTTTGGAGGGGGTTGTGGGGGAGCAGGCTGCAGTTTTTCTCAGAGACTTCAAAGAATCCACAATTCCAAAAAGTCAAAGGATCACTTCCTTGGGAAATTTCTACAAATATTTGAATTCACTATGAAAAAAAAAAAAAATGCTTATGCCTTTATGTTCATTTCCCTGAGCTCACCTTGCAAAGGAATTTGAACTGCCTGGAATCTTCTCTGTAAAATGAGAAGGGCTCAAAATTACCCACAGTTGTTTCCTAGGGACAGAATTACGGGATTGCTCTTATTCGGAATGGTGGTTTCCTGGCTCCGGCACTTCCCTCCTTTGTGTAATCCTTGTCCAGATTATGGTGTCGGGCTTTCCCGGTGCTGCCTGATCTCTTCTCCTTGGGAAATCTAGTGATAAACTGTCCCCAGGCCCTTTATTAAGCCGTCCCTACTCTGCCTGACTGAGCATGTAGTTTTCTGATGCCGGGAACTAAGCCAATAAGTTCTTTTTAAAAAAAATTTCCCAAAGGGAAAACCCAAACCTACTGAAGAATGTAAGAATGTGGGCCCATTCTGCTCCTGCTGTCCACATTAATCAATTCAGTACTTTAAATTAGAAATGTAAAGTTAGACACGTAGCAACTCCCCATAATGAATGTAATCATTATATATTGCAAACACATACTAATAATGAAAATTTAAAAATTTTTTAAAATGTAAAATTGGCTTGGAAGAAAGGGAGTTAAATTTTCATATCCACAGTAAATTGCAGTGCATGACTTTAGAATTCACTCACCCACTTAACATGCAAGTCAACCACATGCCTGAGAATCTTACTTAAGTCTAAAATTAATTGTAGAGTCAAAAGATTCTTCTTTTTTTTTTCCAAGCCATTCGGTGTCACCAACTCTAAGAGACACACGTTTTGTTCTGACTCAAATTAATGGCTTTCTAATTCTATATATGTGAACTTCTTAGCCGTGGAAACAGGAATAAGTAGACACATATTGCACGGGAGCAATTTTTCCTGGCTGTAAGCTTACATCAGGTAATACAGATGAAACATGCACACTTAACACCCAACTTGAAAACATGTATGTAAATAATGACGAAGTTGTGATCGCACCTAACCAACCCCAAATATGAGACTTGCTAACTGGTCGAATAATGCAAAGTCTGGTAACTTATTACTTTCTGGGCTCAGAAGAACCCTCACTACAATCCCAAATGTTGAAAGATAACTCTAGAGCAGAAGCCTACTAGCAGTTTCTGGTGGATCAAAGCTCAGCAGCCTCCAAAGGCAAGAAATAATCCACCACAAAGGTCTATTCAACTCTGCCCACACTCCGCGTCCCAACTGCACTTCCTCCAGAAGAATAAAAGGAGAAACTGCCTTATGTTCTGAGGCCGCACTGGGTCCACAGTAAGATGGGACCGTGGTCAGCACACACTTCTCCTGAGGTGTCAGGGGTCATCTCTCACTGGTGTCAGGTGGGTCTGGAAAAGTGAAATGAGGCAGGATGAGGACAAAAGCTGTGATACTGAATTGCAGCTGAGTGGATGAAGGACAAGTCGATGGCACAAGCGGGGTCTTCACAGTGGCCCTTGAGATAGTGGTCACGTGAAGTGGGTACATGGGGGATCTCCTTGTGATGTGAGAATCAGATCTGTGCTTGCTATCCACTTAATTTTCTTTCCTTTATGTGGGGAGATCGATCACACATGTGGGCCTGGAGCAAGGCTGGTCCTGAGAACGAAGAACACCCAAGGTGAGCCACATAAACAAACTGCTTCAGTCCACAGAACACCAGGCCTCCAAGACAATCTATTCGAGCTGGTTGTTAGGCAGGGGGTGTCACTTGACATCAACTTGCACAGTGTATAAGTAAACACACTGCGGTCACTGAGCAGCAGCTCCTTTCCTCCCAGCCAGAGAGAGGACTCCACCTGACTTCAGCTTTCTATATTCTGACTCTTATCTTTACCTCTACATCCTCCCACCGTCCTTCTCCCCCCACCCTCCCTGAACTTTGAGAGCTGCGCTGGAGGTGGCACTGTTAGATGAGAAGATATCTTTAAGTGTGCAGTGAAGTTTTACCTCTATCCTAGCACAATAGCCAATTCTGCCCCACTGATTCAGCTTCTGGCCATCTTTCATGCCCCAGTGTTTCCATGAGGAGCACAATGGAGGTGGGTACTGCTCCCAACTCCTGCTGTGACAAGAACCTCATGTCCGTTGTTCTCCAGTTGCTTCTTATGGAAGCCTTAGCCAGTGGCTCATAGATCCTCACTCTCTAGAAAGAAGAAAAAAAAGGGAATTTTCATTTTTTAACAGATGAATTCCTTACACACCAAGCCATGTTCTGAGTGATAAAATATCAGTTTATAAAAGATAAAAATGGCATGCAGGAAATTCTGTACCTATTACCTTCTGCTATTCCTCTCAAAATGATATTTGCAAACTATTCTTAACCTGTATCTTAGGACACTTGCTAAAAGAGAAGTCATTTAACCCAGCTGTAAGTCAGTCCTTACAACTGTGAAAGTTGGTGCATTAGTCCCCATTTTATTTAAAGACTATGAGGAAACTGAGGCTTAGATAAATATAAATATGACCTGCCCCATTCCACATTACTGTGAAGCACAGAGACAAGTTAGAATTCTGAGTCTTCTTTGTTCTACAGTTCATACTCCTTCAGCAAGGACATGGTACACAATTGAACACTGAGGTGTGATAAACACCTTGGTGCTACCCTGCTACAATTTCAGTGGTCTTAGGCACAAGACACTCTTGAGTGGTATGCTGTCTAGCACAGCACCTGGGGATCAGTAAATGTCCATGCAACAAGGGTCAGGCAGGACTAGGGTGCAACAGGAATAGAGCAGGTGGCAACCGAAGAAATTGGGAGTTGTGATCATGTGGATCGTTCAGGCAGAACATGGTGCCATAACACTTAAAATGAGAGAAACTGGAGTGTCCCGAGAGAAGACAGCAATCCATGATGAAGACTGTTCAACAAAGTGAATACAAGTGAGGAAAATTGAACAGGATGAACCTCCAAGCCCTATCCCTGGGCCAGTTTTTCAGGGTCAAGGCTGGGGTTCTTGCCATAAACAGCAAAAGGGCTCGAGAATAATTCAGGCCCTTTCTATGGAGTAACTCCTTTTTTAAAAAAAGTATGGCATATGCTTACAATGGAACATTGACTGGCAAAGGTATTTGGCATGTTACAACATAGCTACAACATAGATTGACCTTGAGAAAGTCATGGTAAGTGGAACAACTGAGATACAAAGAGTACATATTTTGTAATTCCTTTTAATGTGAAATGTTCAGGGCTAACGAATCCTTAGAGGCAGAAGTTAGATGGGTGTTTTCAGGAGCTGAAGGTGGGGCTGGGTTGGGGAGGGACTGCCAGTTTCTTAAGGGGTGAGGGGCACCAAAATGTTCTACAGTTAGGTCGTGATGATGTAGCACAACCTATGAATATACTACAAAACACTGAGAGGTACACTAATTGTAGCATGTGAATTTAATAATCTTTTTTTTTTTTTTTTTTTTTTTTTGGTTTTTCTCCAGTACCGGGAACCGAACTCACGACCTTGCGCTTGCCAGGCAGGCGCTTTTGCCGCTGAGCTAAATCCCCAGCCCGTGAATTTAATCTTAATAATGCTCTTTGTTTATTTGTCTTTGTGCATGTTTATAATACAGGCTGGTGAGGTTCATTTCAATAAATTAGTACATGCATTTAACATATCTTGATCTTTTTCTATCCCATTACCCACTTCTTCCTTTCCTCCCCTACCATCCTTTTCCTTAGCTCCAAAAGGCTACCTCCTAGCTTCCTGTCATCTCTCTACTAAAGCTGTTTGTAAAAGTTCTCCTGCCTAGGTGGCTGAGCCTGGGTGAGGAGCCTCTGGTTCCATCCCTGGGGGAAGAGATTTTGTTTGTATTTTCCTCGCTGCTTTTCATCTTCTTTTCTCCTGGTGGCCATGGAGAGCAAGCGTCTTCCTGCAGCTCACTCCTGTGGTGGGAAAGGCATCACAGGAATAGCACCCCAGTTAGTTCTAAGCAGGAAGATGATTTCTTAACACGTCTGAATCTCCTCCCAGCCCGTTACCCCATGCTTTAAAGATACAAACACCCGCTTTTCAGGTAAGACACCAAATACTCTGAGTTAGGGGAAATAGCTGCCTTCTAGCTCTACCCCAACAAACTTTCACTTTAAAAAAGTGCTTTGCTAGCCATTTTCCTAGCAGCCAGTTTCTGTCTCCCAGGTGTGCCTGCCACTTTGTCTTGGGACAACTAGGCCTCCCATCAGGTAATGGTAGACACTGCTATTTGTCACGTACTCACCAGGCTATTTCCTTTTAAAAATCATACTGTTGAAAGTATGTTTATAAACTAAAGTAATTCAATTATAAAAGACAGACAATTGGAAATCTCTAGGCAAATGCAGTGGTGCACACCTGAAATTCCAGCACTGAGGAAAGCTGAGGTAGAAGGAACAGAAGTTCCAATCACCCTTGGGCAACTTAGTGAGACCCTGTCTCAAAATGAAGATACAGAAAGGCTGGGGATGTAGCTCAGTGCTAAAGCAAACCTGGGTTCAATCCCCAGCACTGAAAAAATCACTGATTTAGCAAGGTCATGAAATACAAGAGTGGACTGACAGTATCACAGACCAGAGGAGTCTACGGAGACAAGAAGACCAATGGTTATGCATAATCCTTGGACAGAGAAAGGACATTAATGGGAAACAAGCAAAGTCCAAGTGAGGTCTGGAGTTCAGTTCACAGTGGCTTGCCCATCCGACCCCTTGGGGTGTGATGCCGGCAGGAATGGTATAGAAGATGCCCGCGTAGAGGAGCTCAGTGAGGGGCCTGCAGACACTCTGCCTGCTCTCTCTGCAGTGTTTCTGTGTGCCTAAAATTCTTCCGAGGTAAAACAGCACAATGTAAAATCAATATAATCATAGTCAGACGGCAATCCACTCAAAGCACATTTCATTATTATCTCATTAGCAGAATCTTGTTGTTGCTCCTGTTTCCAAAAATGCTTTAGTCTCTCAAAGCCCTTCTGCGACGTGACATGTAAGAGGCGGTTCTTCGTCTCACTGCCTCCTTCAGCCTCACCTGAGCCCTCTGGGCCTCACACCCTGCTCATTTTCTCTCCATCCCATGAAAGATCTCCCTTATTTGCTTTTCCTCGCAGTCTTCACTCAAAGAGGAAGCCAGGCAAAATTGAGACACTATGGTCTCTAGTTTTCACTTGAACCAAGATCTGGTTATGGGAGTGACTTCTTCTGACTCTGCCATTTCATATATATCTCTCTCTGTCTCTCCCTCTCTCTCTCTCTCTCTCTCTCTCTCTCTCTCTCTCTCACACACACACACACACACACACACACCCCTCCGAGCGAGAGCTATCTAATTCTGCAAGTACTGTACAATCCCATTTGCTTTTTAGCAGAGTGTTCTAAGGGTCAAACCATCCCCCTAACAACCTACAATCTTCGGGCAGAAATCATGCATCCATGGTGATCCTGTACTACTATCCTTTGAAGCAAATAGCTTGTTGGAAGGGATGCAACATAAAGGCTCACAGCTCTAAAATGAATCATGTGCATTGACCCTGCGCTTGTCAGCACACAGAAAACACTGAATCAAAATGTTAGCATTTGTTTTCTCATTACAAGAAAGGCCTCTACTGTTAAATCACTTTTCCCACCAGCTTTCATGGTGTGTGGGGGAGGGGTTTTTCTAGTTCTATCAGAGCATAGGAAACACCACACTGGTAAGTATAAAACCTTAACATCTCTAGCCCCTGGAAATCACCATTGATGTGATCACGTTCTTCTACCAGATCATCACAAAGGTTAAAAATATAGCAAGCTCCTAAAATTCCAGGTTAAGTAGAAAGACTGTGCATCAATGAGAGACACAGATGAGAGGACATGTCTTTTTCATGATTCACTGGAATTCTAATACATAGCATCAGGGTTTTGGTGGGTTGTTGTTGTTGATGCTGTGTTGTTGTTGTTGATGCTGTGTTGTTGTTGATGCTGTGTTGTTGCTGTCATTGTTCTTGCTGTTGTTGTTACTGCAGTTGTTGTTGTAGTTGTTGTTGTTGTTGTTGCCGCTGTTGCTCCCTCTGCTGTGGTGGTTTTGTCTTTGGTACACAGGGGGATTCAATCCCCTGAGCTCCATCCCCAGCCTATTTTAAGTATAGGTTTTTTGTTTTTTTTTTTTTTAATTTTGAGACAAGGTCTTTCTAAATCATTAGGTTGACCAGGCTGGATTCAGTTTTGTGATCCTCTTCCTTCATTTCCACTTCCTTAATTTTAAAAGTCTGAGTCCCTTTTTAAAGTTAGGAAAGGGAAAACAAGAAGGAAAAATAAACAAGATGTTAGGTATATGTACCAACTCCCCAAGATAAATGCAATTACTCTGTATAGCAAACATCTTCTGAGAAAGAGAAATTTCTTAAAACGAAGCAGGGAACGGTGGACTTTCCATTTCCTTTCCTGTACTCTTTGTATTTCTTTTAAAACTGGCTTACTTAGATCTGCAGACAGTCTAAGGTAAATTTAAATACAGAAAAAGCTACTGTCAAAAGTGACCTATTTCAAGCTCAGTGATATTTTCCTAGATGCTTCACAGGCTGTCTAGCATAACCACCAGTGTTTCCTATAATGACACCGTGCCACACCTGGCCCTCACAGGCAAATTGTCTAGTGAGCAAAGGGTCAAGACTACCAACCCGATCTTTTAATGCTGCAAATGATTTTCTATTTGCAGAACCCTATTCCCTGCGAACTCATTTCTATGCCTTTATTTTGGACTGTAAAAAGGTAAAATGTCAGAATATGTTGAGAGGATAAAGTAACATCACAATTTTCAAAGAAAAGAAAATCACAAGACCAAAAAGAAATTGAAAATAATAGTTATCAATTATAATAAAGCAACTATTCAATTATTACGTTATAAACTATTTATTTTGCAATTTGATTCAGAGAAAGTCCATGCTTTGAAAGCACGATTGAGTTCATATTTGAACCCCAAATTCTCTTTCCTCAGCAACACTTCTTTCCCTGTCCCTTTTGTGTTATAAGATAGCTAAGCAAGCAGAGAGCAAGCACGTCTTTACTTTAACAACCGGTACCAGAATTACTCTCAGAGAGGGAACTGCTTTTATAAGCAAAGTGTCATATGTGGATAAACACATTATGAGTAAGGACAAGGAACGAGAAGAGATTGCTAACGTGCTTTGCATTCGCACACCTATA